CTGTGTTCGCCGTAATATATCTTTGTCCCCTCAGAAAAGCAATAAGAAGATAAAAAAAAATCAGAGAAAATAAATGTGTTTCGGGAAACAACTAGCATTGTCGTCATTAGCATCTTCTTTTTTTTTGTTGCCGCCAACACTATGGTAACTCTATATGCGTAGATTATTCAGTGTGCCGTGTAAGAACGTCCTAATTTGCTTTCCAATAAGAAAAGAAAAGTCCTGAAAGAAAAATGAGAAGGCGATGCATAAAAAGAAATATTACCTCAGCTTTAACAACAGAAAGAAAACCAGCAGCAGGCTCTGAAAACAGACATCGTTTCCGAAATGATGGAAAACATTTGATTTTTCGTCTAGCAACGAGTGATATCTGTCCTACTTAAAATAGCGTTTAATATACAATAAAAACAATATCCATAGAAACATAACATTGCTTATTTTTGCTATCATCTAGTACTGTAGTTTTTTCATTCAAAAACTTACTGAAAATAGATACCCATTTCACCCCAAGCAAGGCAATAAGTCCACTAAGAAGTAGGGTGTTAATCAGTGACAAAAAATGAAATAGCGAGAACAATAATTAATAGGACAGAAGATAACTTTTCCTATAATGTATAGGGCCACCTAGTATAGCTTTAAAAAGCCCCTTAAAATGAGATTTTTTTTGTTGTATTTTTTAAAGTAAAATAAAAACTGTCAGTATCTACAATGGACCTGCTTTTATTTTGTCAGCCAATTTACAGGATGGTATTATTCCTGAAAAGTTCAAATTTGGATTGGTCTGTCCGCAATACATTTTGCTAAAAATGATTTATATATATTTTATATATATATATATATATATATATATATATATATATATATATATATTAAGCATTACGCTCCGAGCAAGGCGTGAAGCCACTAGGATGCAGGGGGTTGCAGAAGATTTGGAGCGAGAGCAGATAGGAGTGATAGAAGAAAGGATGAGGAGAAGGATAGTGGGTAGATCAAGGTAACTGGAGATGTCTATTGACATTACATTTGAATAGTTGGAGATTATAGCTCTCAGGGAAACAGTAATAGGGACGGGTGTTTCACAGGCGAGAGGTGCGAGGTATGAAGCTATTGGAGTAGAAGAGACGGATAAATTTAAAAGTTTCTACAGTGTAAGGGTGGGAGCGGGATGCCAGCCTCGTAGGGCGCTTGAATTCATGGAGTCTGGGAACCAGTGAAAGCAGCTCATCGGAGCAATTACCATGAAAGTATTTGTAGAAAAGACAGATAGAGGCGACGGCGCGTCTGTGAGAGAGTGACTGTAGACGAGGTGTCAGATCAAGGCCAGTTATATTACATATCCGTCTCTGGATCTTGTCAAGAACTCCGAGGTAAACAGAAGGTGCCCCAGACCATATATGGCAGAATAGACATTTTCAGATTATAAAGTGCTGGAAATTTGATTCAGATCAATGGAAATCAGGAAAAAAAATATCATTCGATTTTAAACATCTAAACATAACTGATGAAATATCTATTCAACAAGACGATTCAAAACACGCTTTTAAATTACATCGACTCAAATAAAAGAAACAGCATTTTAGAAATTATGACAGGGTCAGCTTAATCTGCTATTCTCTCTCACATGGAATCAGTATGGGATGAATTGAATAAGTGAGTGTGCGTTTTTCAGTGTTTCAAGAATGATTGGGAAGGTCTGCCATCGACTATTTTAAAAAAAATGTGAGAAAGAATACCAAAGAATTTGTAAAGCAGGAATTAAGGTGTGCTTTTATTGACGAAAACAAAATGTCATACTTCTATATAACTAAGAGCTTATTTTTGTCAAGATAAAAGGAAATACACTGTACTCACCGAAATTCTGTTTCACTTATAAAAAATACAAAATATCTTATGTTAACGTGTATTTTTAAAGGAATGCGGGTGACAGTAAAAGTGTTATCTGATGTATATATATATATATATATATATATATATATATATATATATATATATATATATATATATGTGTGAAAATTTCTCAGAGTTAACCTGTAGAAAAAGACAATAATTCTAAATATAAATGACAATAGGAAAACTAATAGTTGCCGACGCGTTTCGTCCAATGTGGACTTCCTCAAGGTAAAAAACGAAATGAATTTATTTAAACAAAGTAACTAATAATAACAAAAACAATTGCTAAGGTCATTTTGTTTTTGTTAATATTAGTTACTTTGTTTAAATAAATTCATTTCGTTTTTTACCTTCAGAAAGTCTACATTGGACGAAACGCGTCAGCAACTATTACAGTTTTCCTATTGTCATTATATATATATATATATATATATATATATATATATATATATATATATATATATATATATATATAGTCGACTCTCCTGTCTAAATTCGACGTACGAGGTTCAAGCAGATCAGTTTCAGGAAACCGACAGCTCGACACCGGCACACGAGATTTGATTATAATGGTGAAGGCCTCATACAGGACCATCCACACTTTTTGAAGGGACGAATACAAAGACCTGGTGCACCGAATGCCACAAGATTCCCAAACGACACTCCGCGGGTTTTGAATTCAGAGTTGTCCTTCTCCTAGACCATTGCCATCCAAGGCTATAGAACTCAGCCTGTCCTGCTATTTTACCCATAACTGTCGGGTGAGGAAGAGGATATATATATATATATATATATATATATATATATATATATATATATATATATATTATTATATTATTAATAATACTCGGTTGGAAAAAAATCCTCAGTAGCACAACTTGTAAGTCTATCAAAACGATTTCGTACCCGAGGGAAAAAATTGTAAAAAACGTTATTAGAATTAGAAATATCTGAACAGGGAGAAAATAAATCGTCCAGTCCCTTAAGTTTTTAGTCCAAAGAAAAAAAAAAACCGAAGTTACTAATAAAGCTAAAATGTAGAGTATTGACCATATATATATATATATATATATATATATATATATATATATATATATATATATATATATATTTCCCATAATGAACTGTATTCCTGATCAAACCATACATAATTACATCGGTCACACGACAACATACCTATCCAGACGCCTTACGTTACACCTGTCTGACCATTGCTCTATTATAAGCCATTTAAATACAGACGCAAACTTACCAGACTACATCCGAAAATGTAGAAAATACAAACATAATAACCTCATCTACATGTAAAAAAGATAATGGAAACTTTAATGATAAAAAAAAAAACACTTAATAATATTAACAACGAATACGGCCACAATTTGCTTCCTGTGTTCTCAGAATAAAACATAAATATAAAACTAAAAGATGCACACAACACATACGCCCACTTAAAAAAAAAACAACAAAAAACTCATCCTTAATAATGGCTTAAATTATAGCCGAAATCGCTCGGAATAATAGAACATCTGTACAGTTTCTACAAACTCTGTGTCTAAAAACGAAAACACTTGTTTGAACACAAGAAAAATTAAATAAAAAGCTTAATCTTAGTACTTTCTCTGTCGTCTTAAATGAAACATATATAAATGAAGAATTGTTCCTAAATACACAATATATATATATATATATATATATATATATATATATATATATATATATATATATATATATATATCAGAGTATGTGAAGGAACGTATACACTATTATGCACGAGGAATTTTAAAATCTAGTAATGTTTATTTATTCTATAAATTAAATGCGCAAATTAAGATCCATTATTAATCATATATGAAAATCTTTGAGGAAAGAAAAGATTTTTATCATAAACCTTATTATATTCATTGCCATTTGGGAACCTCCGATTATATTTCACACAAACACACACAACACACACACACACACACACACACACACACACACACACACACATATATATATATATATATATATATATATTAATATTGTATGGAAAGTCTATAGTGTGTTACCTTGTTCGCGTTGCCTTTTGTCTCTTTCTCAATTTATTTTTTCTTTTACATCGTCAATTTTGCATCAAAGTGGTTCTTTCGATAATTATGACGTAATCAACTTATTGTTAATATTGTTGTTTTTCTTGTTGCTCTTGTTGTTGTTGCAGAAGCAGTAATTGTAGATGACTGCCACTTGAACGTCGTCCCATGCCAAGTTAGAGAGGGTCACAGGGGAAAAGAAGGGGCATACAAAAGGAAAATTCGACGATCTAAGAAAGCAAATTTAATAAGCGGGAAAAGACGGTTACAGTAGAGTTTCCAGTGGTAGGAGTTCGAATTAACGAAATTAAATGCAGAAACGAAAAATAATTGACAGAGAAATTGTAATTAAAACCACTTCTCATGGCCGCTTTCTCTTCCGTTGCTTCACTGTCTTCAGTTGCTTTCATTTTCAGCCTCCCTAACCGCGATCATTTCTACCGTTATTGTAGTATTTTTCCCTTTCCATTTTGATTTTACTTTCATTTTCACTTTCACTTTTACTTTCCCTTTGATTTTCATTTTTACTTTCACTTTCATTTAAATTCATTTTTATTTTCACTTTCATTTTTACTTTCACTTTCATTTTTACTTTCACATTCATTTTTACTTTTATTTTCACTTTTACTTTTATTTTCACTTTTAACCATATTCTAGCATTTAAAATTTGCTCATAGCTTTAAGTTCCCTTCTTTAACAGATTATTTTTTCTTAATGTTGAGTCTTTTTCTGAATCACAACCATTTCGTAGTGTTACTACGAACACATGAAATTGTCAAATGACGACTACTCTGAAATCTTCTTTCCCCAAGGTCATAATAGAAGTGTGTTTATTAGACGTTTTTACTTTATGGATTTTCTCAAATTTGTTTTTCTCATTTTTCCTATTTTCCCTTGTATGTCCAATGCTTTCTTCATGAATCCCTTTTCACCTTAATCTGGTTCTTCTCATGTTATTGTGATTTTAACTCCTAAAGATTATTTCTACCACTCTCATTTTTAAATATTCAATCAATAAAAAATTTCTAAAACATTAATTAA